AAAGAATTTGAGATACTCTAAAAAAAAAAAAAAAGACAGCAAAAGGAGCAAGAGCAGAAGGAGCGGGACAGCAGAGAGCAGGATCTTTACCTCCCTTACATTGTTTTTTGTTTGTTTGGTTTTTTTCCTGTACCAGGGATCGAACTCACAACCTTGCACTTGCCAGGCAGGCACTGTGCCACTGAGCTAAATCCCCAGCCCCTTACCTCCCTTACACTGTATGGAAACTACCTACCCCAGGGCAGGTAAAGCACTCACACTCATAATCCCAGCACAGGATGATGAATCAATCAAAAACTGTAGAAGCCCACCCCATGACTGCATGAGGCTTTGGGGGGATATCCAGGCACAATCCATAACAGACCCCTTCATCTTCTTAGGGTTTATCTTTCACCTCTGGAGTGTATGTATGGTAGTATTACAGCAGAGTAATTGTCATTTGTTTTTCACCAGACTTATTTAGTTTCATGATATTAACATAGTTGATCAATCTGAAATTCACTAGAATGTCCACATGCTACAGGTCACATGGTAGATAACAAGAATTAACGCAGTCTTGGAATGTACGTAATTATCCATCTCTTGTGAATGTAAACCTTTTGATTTACTTTTCTAATGTGTTTACAAAAGAATATCTTGCCAGCCAAATACATGCTTGTCACATACCAAAGTCTATGTTAATCTGACTTGTGAAGATACCACATCCAGACCAACAGCTTCAGTTGAGACTATTTGGCTGTTCCTGGTAGTCTATATCATCTGCCATAATTAATTTGATTTTTGCAGAAATCAAACTATTGAATTTAATGAGAATATGTGGGGATCATTATCTTTGTATCCCATAAATCTTTGAGGTTATTTACCATTCAAGGTAAGATGCAATATTGTTTTCATGTTATTGCTACTTGTTGTCATTTTTAACTTTTTATTTTGAAATAATTATAATTTATAAAAAGTTGCAAAAGGTAGTACAAACCGCTCTGTGTATCCACCCCCATGTTTCCCTCACACATCCGGAGCCAGCCTACTATTTAATGCAGCCTCTTCGTGATATATTTTGTCCCAGGTGAGCATCCCAGCAACTGCATGACTGCAGTAGGTCAGAGCACCGTATTTCATCCACCACCAGTGATGAGGTTCTCGTTGTCATCTAGTGGCTGAGTGGCGCAGTGCTTCTGGGGACTACTTTCCTCACCAACGGTGTTAGATTATGTTCCCAGCTGGCAAAACCCGAGGTGGAAATTCTTGCTTGGGTAACATCAAGAAGAAACTTTTCTCTGAAGGTTAAAAGAAAAAAAAAACAACTCAGAGGAAGAAGTTAGACAAAGATACCACTTTGGTAGAAGTCCCTCCTCAGGCAGTTACCATGCCAGCACTGAGCTGTGAGTTGCAGTGCAGAAGCAGCCCCATCCAGTGCCAAGAGGCTGCTGCAGCCCTTCCTCAGGTAGTCTCCTGCCACGGCCCTTCCCAGATGACACAGCCTTCTAGCCATTCTCCTCAGGACCCTTTCTGGGTGAGGCAGCTCCTGGCAGCCCACAATATCCTCCACAGAAGGACAAAGCCCTGAGCCATGGGCAGCCAGGGCCCATAGCTTGGAGAACACAGGTGGGGCATCCAAGAGCATCTGGTCTACCTCCTGAAAGAGATGCTGTTTGGTATAGAAGCAGAAAGGGAGCCAGACGTGGTGGCGCACACCTGTAATCCCAATACTAGGGAGGCTGTGGCAGGAAGACCTTTGTGAGTTTGAGGCCAGCCTGGGCTAGTGAGCTCAAGGCCAGCCTGAACTGCATAGCAAGACCCTGTCTCAAAAAGACAAAAAAAAAAAAAAAAAAAAAAAAAAAAAAAAAAAAAAAAAGCAGAATGGGAAGAAACAGTGATCATGTGGGAGTCACTGGAAGGGCCTTCCCAGTCATTCTGAGCCAGGGATGGGCTTAGCATACTTGAAGTCTAGAAAGCAGGTCAGTGTGAGTGGAATGTGGTGAAGTGGGTGCAGACTGTGGGCTGACTGTGTGGGAATCTGACAGAGCATGATGTCATGCTGAACTGGCTTTTCCTCCGACTCTGCTTCCTTGGGGCACTTTCAGGCAAGTTGATAAAGTAATTTATTTTCTAAATAAATGATTTCTTTTGGGTATCACTTCTTTTTAATATTTGGAGAAATGAGAGCTGTGGTGTTAATTGGATTTGCACGAGAGAGAAATTTGAGTTAGTGACATTAGATATGTCATCCCTGCTTTCATTAAAAATAAAGATCCCACACCAGCTCATAGTTCATTCCAAATGCATCAGATCTGAGACACTGTCACTTCCATGAATTTTTATAAGGCAACAAAGCAAGACCAGTGTTGATTTTGGAAGTCTTATCTAGTCCCTTCTAATTGGCTTAAATTAAATGAACCATCTCTGCAGGGGAAAACAGATTAGTCATTCCAAATGCTTTCATGAAATACTTTACCATAAAAGAAAGCTCTGTATTTCTTACTGCCTCTTACACCACACATTGGCACACCACATCACCATCTGTCTTTCTAGTAGTAGGGTTTTATTGCTTTTCTTGGAGGTTAAAATGACTTTTTAAAAACTTTATTTCAAAGAGTAAAAGAAGGATAACATAGTAATAGGGGGATTTACCGAATTACAGACAAGGTGGTAGGACAATATCAATGGTTGTTATTTTACCTATTGGTATCTTCAAGATAAAATGACTTTTTAATAGTGCCTTATTGACTTCATTTAGGACTGCTGCTGCTACCACGTGCAACTCAACAACTCTAGTGCAGGTCAAAGCTGTTGCTTACACTTTATGGTGTGCTTCACGCACACCAGTGTGAAGTTATTCTCCACTCACACGGCTTTGATCCTAAACCCAGCGTCAAACCAGTGTCTGTGTCTCTTCATCTCCAGTTTACCCTTTAGGCTGTTGCCAGATGGCTTTTTGTCAAAGCCAGTTCAATCATAAACACCAATCTCTAGTCCATTGCAATTCATTTCAGGTTCTTGTTTGGGGATTTATAGTTCCTTGTAAGCTGGATCCTTTTCCTACCTAGAATCACTGCTTTGCATTCTGCAGTGGAAGCCTTCAGCTCTGCCCAGGATGTTCTCACTTCCCCATGGACAGGGCAGCTTCTCCCTTCCTCATTGCTTCCATTTTTGCTTTTGACAAACAGAGAAAGCCTACTCCAGTTTTCCCTCTCCTGAGTTTGACATTATTAGAATCCCGCATCCTCCTGGAATCTGCTAGGACTCCTCTGGCTCATGAAGGGTTCTATTTCCTTTGTTTATTTATTTATTTTTTGTCTTTTTGAGACAGGGTCTCGCTATGCAGCTCAGGCTGACCTTAAGCTCACTTTGTAGCCCAGGGTGGCCTCGAACTCACAATGATCCTCCTGCCTCAGCCTCCCGAGTGCTGGGATTACAGGTGTGTGTCACCACGCTTGGCTTGGTTCTATTTCCTTTGAAAGACAACACCATTTGAGGTCTGCTTGCTCACTTTGGATAAAGTATGGGTGTGATGGCTTAGGAAGACTAGAGCACTACCATCTTTGTGTTCAATCAAGAATGACAGCAGACTTGCCTGTACCTGCAGAGAGTTCTTACAAATCCCCAGAAAGAGCCATGCATGGTGGCACATGCCAGCAATCTCAGCACTAGGAGGCTGAGGCAAAAGGACTGTTGCATGTTTGAGACTAGCCTGTGCAACAAAGTGAGCTCAAGGCCAGCCTGAACTGCATAACAAGACCTTGTCTCAAAAAGACAAAAAAAATCAAATCTCCAGAAAGACCAAAGGATGAACAAGTTTGTCATCCTGATCAAGGAAAGAACAGAATATCATTTTGAACATACAAGGACCCAACCTTTAGGAAAATTGTTCATGAATACAGAAAAGAGAAACTATATTCAATGAGAACAAATCCATAAAGGTTATAATCTTGTGAAGAGCTTGTCTTAAGAAAGAATAATTAAAATTCAGCCAAATCTAAGCTCACCATGGTGACCCATGCCTGTAATTTCAGCACTCTAAAGCAGGAGGCTTGTAAGTCAAGACCAGGGTAGGCAACTTAGTGAGACCCTGCCTCAAAATAAGAGGTGAAAAAGAGCCATGGATACAGCTCAGTGCAAAGGCTTGGGGTTCAATTCTTAGTACTGCAAAAACAAAATAAAGAAAAAATCCATAACCAAGTTTGAAAGCAGATCTTCCTCATTAGATTTACTGTAACAGAGGACAATGTGGTTCTGTAGTACTGAACAGTGCCTGACACATGATAAGACCTCAGAAAATGTCACGATCATTAAGAAAGTCAGAAGCATCTAGTGTCTAAGAGAAAGAGATCCAGAATCAAACTGCGTAGGCAGCTGGACGTGGTGGCGCACACCTGTAATCCCAGCACTCGGGAGGCTGAGGCATGAGGATTGTTGTGAGTTCGAGGCCAGCCTGGGCTACAAAGTGAGCTCAAGGCCAGCCTGAACTGCATAGGGAGGCCCTGTCTCAAAAAGACAAAAAGAAAAAAAAAAAAAAAGCAACTGCGTGGGCTCGGTTACTGTGTGGAGCACTTACTGTTTGAGTTTGTACAAGGTAATCTCAGTGTGCTCCATTTTGCCCATTTGAGGGTTAGGATTACAATAGTATTGTGAGCATATATATCATAGCATCTTGGCATGTCATTCTTAATAAATGTTAACCAGTTGCATAATAATTTTTGATATAAAGTCACTTGTGTCTGTGTAATGGTTTGTGTCTGGATGTCTCTCCAAAGCCTTATGCAGTCACAGGAGGCGGGTGGGCTTCTCAAAGACAACTTGTTAAACCTGGACATCTTGTTTTCATGCCCTCACCTCAGGAAACAGAGTTACAGTGTGTCCAGCTCGACTCAGCAGGGAGCCAGGAGCCTCACTTTGTAAACATCCTCATCCTGTGCCAGAGGAGGGCACAGAGATGGTGTGAGTGCTATACTTGTCCTGGGCGGGTAGCCTGCATAGAACATAAGGGAGGAAAAGAGGCATGCTAGTCCCCCTTTTTGCTCTTGCTGCTTTTGCTGTTTTCTGTCACCATGAACTATTACCCTTCAACTATGCCACCCTGCCTTGGAGCCAGTTGATTGCGGGCTGAAACTGCCACAAACTGTGAGCTAAATAAACCTTTCCTTCTTTAATTTTGGGCATTGAGTATTTTGTCCCAGCAACAAGAGAAAATTAGCCAACGCAGTCCAGAAGAAAATACTATGTACATGAATGTTCAACCCAGCTTTATTTATAATTGACAAAAACTGGGAACAATTTGTTCAGAAAAGAATTCCTATAGCAGATCCAAACTGCTGTCCTGGGAAAGGCCTTCTTGCCAGGTTGGCATCTGGGAATTTAGGTTTCTGAAAGCTACTCCCCTTAAAAGCATAAGAGTAGTTTGTTCTGTTTAAACTGTTAAAGCAAACAACGCAGTCCCCCCAGAACATCTGCTTTCCTTCTGGAATTCTGTGGTTTCTCAGACAGAGGGGTCTGTGTGATTGGCCCCCTAAAAATCCCTGGATGCTGAGGCTTACTGGCAATGTTACAGGCAGCTGAGTTAGGTGGAAATATTATAGGCAGTCAGACAGGGCCAGGCCCTCGAAGGAGCCAGTGTGGAAGATGGGATACCTAGCAACCATGGGGGAGACAGACACCTCCAGCTGTGGACAAAAGATTAAACAGATGTGCTCACATACTTCCCTAGGGATGGACATCAGGGATTGATATTCTAAATAGGTAGCCATCACCTTGAAAAAGCCAGGAAGAGTCACTAACCCAACCCCCTACAGGAAAGGCCCCTGTTCTGTATTCATGCCTGCTTGCTATGTGACTTGCTTCCCAATTTGATTCCACTTTAATTAATTTTACCTGAACAATTATGCTTGTAATCTTATTGGCTGACCATAATTTTGACCCACCCCATCCCCACCTAATGAGTTCTCATATTTTCTATCTTGGACCTGCCTTACCTCATGGTTTTGCTCTATAAAAAGCCCTAGAAAAGACAAGATCCTGGGCAACACGCTCGGGCCCTCTTCTGTCCCTCTCTCAGACAGCAGCTTTCTTTCCCTCAATAAACATATTCTGCTCTTAACCTCCATTGTTTCTAAAATTCATTCTTCTATTTTAGAGAGCACACACTCATCCCAGATACCATTCAGGTTGGGAATTTTCTCCCCTGTATCAGCAACATTCCCTGTATATTGCCATAACCAGTTGTTGGGGGGGCTCTGCTATCCGAGGACACCTGGAAGCTTGCGTCTACTGTCCCCTCTATCTCACCTATGTGCTATTCTCTTTACCAGCTTTGCTCTGTTTCCCTTCACAGATCATAACCAAGAGCACATCTACACACTGAGACTTGGGATCCTCCCAGTGAATTATAGAAAGGAGGGACCCTTGACACATAAACAAAATGTCCTTCTGTGGGTGAATGGAAAAATAAATCATAGTATAACAATTTCTTTCTTTTCTTTTTTTTTTTTTTTTTTTGGTTTTGCTCCGGTACCAGGAACCGAACTCATGACCTTGCGCTTGCCAGGCAGGCGCTTTTGCCGCTGAGCTAAATCCCTAGCCCCATAGTATAACAATTTAATGGGTTATTACGGAGTAATAAAAAGGAATGAATTATTGATACAAACAAGTTGGATCACTCATGAGGAGAGAGGAAAAACCAATCTCTAAATGTTACAAACTAGATGATTGCAAGACTTTTGTGAAGTGACAAGATTATATTGATAGAAACAAATCAGTAGTGGCCAGGGAAGTGCCTCGCTACCAAGAGGTGACCTGGGGCGGTCCCTTTATGGCAGAAGAGCAGATCTAGAAGGGACCGACAACTTACTGCAATTGTACAAGACATCATGGGGGAAGCTTGGTGAAGGGTATGGGTGAAATAGCTGTGCTATTTTACAAGTTCTTATCAGTCAAATTATTTTAACATATAACAGTATTAAAAAGAATCAGAGAGAGAAGCACAGACAGATAGAGGGACAGACAAAGACAGAAAGAGCAGACAGGGAAATCTTCAAGACTTCAGGAGGGAGAGAAAATATTGGGGTGAAGTGCAAAATACAAGGGAGAAAATAGAAAAACTAAGAGACAGGGAAAAACTTTTATTGTAATCCATGTGCTTTTTGGCCTGTTAGTCCGGCTGTTAATCCGTGTTTATGATAATTAACTTGATAAGGACTTTATAACATAAATAAGTGAGTCTAATGCTGGCCAAAAAATAATTTACCTGAGTGGAAGTCTTTGGATTTAAGTATTTCACATTCCTTCTGCCAGTCCGTGGATTGTTTTTATTAGTACGTGTTTGCAATTCACGCAGTTTACAATCACCTTGGGGAGTAGCTACGGGTCCGTAGTCCAGCTTTTTAAATTAACATCCTTCCCCGCTCAGGCTCCCCAACCCCCTTTCCAGGACTTATTGCTGTTTGTCTTCGCTCATGTTATGGCACACATGTTTAGATTTATTGGAGTTACTAGGTGCTTGTACATGACATGTCTTTATTCCCCTTATTTCTTCTTCCCCTCCTCACCCATTACCCTTGTTCCCTTGGACCACTTCTCTATCGCAAGAGATCTGCCCCCTTGTCTCTTTCTAATCATCCTTTATCATTTTCTGTACTTTGCCTCACTCAAATGAGAGAATCCATATGATATTTAAGCTCATTTGGCTTATTTCACTCAACAATATATTTTCCAGGTGTATAGATTTTCCTACAAATGTCTCAATTTTGTCACTCTTGATAGCCAAGTATATTTCATTATATACCACATTTTCTTCATCCGGTCATCTGTTGGTGGGCATACAGTCTGCTTCCAATGAAGAGCAAATACACAAGAGTACCAATTTAACATACACATGAAACCATGGAAGAACATATCCCCACATCACCAAGTAACTTAAGAAACAAAACCATAGGCCAGCAAGATGTCTGATGGGAACTCAGATGCGATATCCCAAACAGACGCTGCACATGTAATTCCCAAGCAGCTTCTGTGCCAGATTCTAAGTGTTCAACCCCAGTTACTCCTCTGATTCCTCTACTGCAAAACCGCGGTGAACTCAGACTCAGGACCTCTTCCTGCAGGTTGCAGGCATTCTTGGTGCCTGACCCAGTGTGAGTTCTTGGGTTAGACACTCTTGCTGTCCCTCTCCCTGGGTGTGCTGGTGGATTCGGCAGACAAGTTCACTGGCACTAAATTGTTCGCTGAGTCAGGACTAGTCCTATGCAATGAATTCAGCTACAGCAGTAACAGGCTGATCCATTACAGTAGTGTCTATCTATCAGGGCTAATTGAGAAAATAACAAACCGTAAGACCCTGTTTTTGGTCTCCCTTTAGTAGCTGGGAAAAAGTGCCATGTGCACTGCCAATCCTGCGTAGCTCAGGCTGAAACCGGTGTCTGAGTGCAGGAAGCCGGTCTGTGATCTCCAGTTTCTGCCTGTCTGTGGGCCTCCCCAGTCTGCTCCCCACCTGTCCCCATCTCCGAGGACAGTACTTCAGGTTCAAACACCCGCCTTCCCTACAGAGTGTCCCCCGCAGCTCCTGCTCCACGTGACAGCGTCCTGGGGGCACTTGTGCTGGGTCACTCACCAAAGTTGCCTTTGGGGGCTGCTCAGGAAGCAGAGTCTCGCCTTCTTCCTGCTGTCTCCAGCTGCACGCAATTCCCCTGGTCCCAGGCTGCTCTCGGTGAGCAGAGCTGTTGTTACTTTCACTGTACTTCCTGGCTGGCGGCCAGCCACCGTCCATAGCCCCGCGGCTTCTCCTCCGCGGAGCAGCCAGGCTCGCCTGTACTTAATCCTATTTTCCTCCCTTCTGTCAGCACCCTCGTTGTTCCCTTGTACTCTCCTCTCACCCCCTTCCTCTCCAAGCCGCTGTCCCCCAGGCGCTGGACATTTCGTCCTGGAGGAGCCAGCTGCTGGCGCTCACAGCTCTGTCATCTGTCTCCCTGTGCCACTGCCAGTCCATGGGCTTCTTTTCACTGTCTTAATGGAACCAAGGTTTTCATTTTAATGTAGTCCAACATTTAAATTCTCCTCCATGGTGAATGCTTTCTGTATCCTGTGCGAGCAACCCTTGCTGACATGAAGGTGTTTGTATAACAGTCATCTCTTCTTTCTCTGGAACGCATTCTCCGAGCCAGCTGGCTTCAGTCCAGTCCTGAGGACCGAGCACTCTGCGTGTGGTGGTCGGGAATAGTGCTTCGGTTTCTATTCTATTGTATTTACAAAGGGTGGCTTTTTAGTAGGAGGTGGTGATCATCATAATCGACACACCCGCTAGTGCTAGTATCTGTCAGTCAGAGTAGACACTGGTGAGCTTAGCCCGGGCTGGTGAAACAGGAACATTACTAACCCAGGTGGCGGCCACTGAGCCATTTACCTGTGACTCACTTTCTCTAGACCTAAGTTGGCTCTGAGGCTGTGAGTTTTCTGGCCGTTGGCCAGCGTGGGTGCAGGGAAAGGCTCTGTGTCTGGGCATCATGCCCAGCAGCTCGTCCTCAGCAAGCAGCTCTGCTCGATCAGTGCAGAACCCCCTGGAAGCAGGCTAAAAATGCGAATTGCTCAGCCCCGTCCCAGACCAACTGAATCAGAACCTGGAGGTTAGGCCCATAAGTCTGTCTTTTGATCAGTTCCCCAAGATGGGTATAAACATGGAGTCCCAGCACTCTGGGAAGGTGAAACAGGATTTCAAGTTCAAGCCCAGCCCAGGTCTGGTCTCAAAATAAAAAATAAAAAGGCAGGAGGTATAGCTCAGTGCAAAGGCCCTGGGCTCAGAACCCAGTAACACAAAATAAGTAAATAGAATTTCCAGGTGATTTGGATGCACAAGAAGTTTTGAGAACCATTGTAGAAGAAAATGTATTATTGATACAAGTTGGAACTTCAAATTGGTCCCCAAATTGAGCACTTGGCCCCTAATGTAGGCTCAGTAAGTGTCTGCTATGCAAGCACATGAGTGGATGAGTGGATGTAGAAGCACTGATAAAAAACATAGCCAGGCGTGGTGGTGCACACCTGTAATCCCAACATCAGCAGACTGAGGCAGGAAGATCACCATGGGTTTGAGGCCAGCCTGGCATACACAGTGCGTTCAAAGCCATTCTCAGCTACGTAGTGAGACCCTGTCTAAAATACCCAAAACCAAATCCAAGCAAACCAAGCCAAACAACATAAATGCCCCGCAAAACAACTAAATGAAGTAAACTAGACACACAAACTTAAATCTCATGATTTCTCTTATATGAGGAACTCCAAATATAAATAAATTAGAGAGCAAAATGAAAGATCACAGGAGACAGGGAGACAGATAGTTTGCAGGTGGGAAGGGGACCAAGAGGTGGGGGTGGGGTACAGAGGAGGGGAGGAGGGGGAAAGAGAATGAAGATGCGCCCTTAACATGAGCCAACTCCCCCTGACGAGTGTAACCATAGGTACTGCATACGTGTACAAATATTATGAAAAAAACCCAAGAACACTTAGTTTTATTGCTGTTCCTGGGTATCCAGTTGCTAGCCTACACCCCGTATCTTCCAGGCATTAAAAATTAAAAGGAAGGCTGCAAAGAAACCAAGTCCCGTAGATCTATTCTTTTTTCCATAGAAAGACTCAACCTGGTTGAGTCAAGGTCTTCGTGAGAAGAATTTAAAAAAAAAAAATTTATATTAGATCAGGGGACCGGGTCTCAGGTGAGCTCAAACCTCTTGGTTTTGTAGTTTTATTTTCTTGTTATTTAAAAGTTAAACTTTTCTTCCAGGTAAAAATGTCTCCTCACCCTCCTGGGGCTAAGAAGTCCAGAGTCTGTTACCAACCTGGACAAATTGTTTGCCGTGAAGATTCATCTCACTTCAGGAGAAATGGACACAATGTTAACGCCTTGCTGTGCTGGAGACAAAGTTATATCGCGGGCAGCCACGCCTTCCAGGAAGGTGAGAGACCGCTCAGCAGTGGTTCCTTCAAAAGACAGCAGTGGGTGCTGGGGGGGTAGTAAGTGGTGAGTGTTTACGTACATGTGCGAGGCTCTGGGGTGAATCTTCACTCAGCACCATAAAAATGCAGCATAAACATGGAATTATTTCATAATAATTTTTGAAATCATGGCCTTAGACTGTCCAACAGCAAAAAGCTGCAGTGCACTCAAGAAGTGGACTTAGGGGCCGGGGATATAGCTCAACAGCACAAGCGCCTGCCTGGCAAGTGCAAGGTCCTGAGTTCTATTCCAGGTACCAAAAAAAAAAAGAAAAAGAAGTGGACTTAAAAATAGAAAGTATAGGTTGTTCTAGGAATGTGGAAAGGATTGGGTATGAACCTATGTAGTTTGGTCCCATAATTAACATGTAAAGGGTGATTAAAATATACCATGACTGCTTACATTTTAAAAAGTTTATAACAGTAAAAGATATATTGTCATTAATCCCTCTCAAAATGCCCCCCTTGAACACACATATCTGGTGTTCTTGCCATGTTCTAATGCAGTTTTGGGGGTCCCTTTCCATGTCTTGATGAGATGTGATAAAAAGTACAGTGCTTGCAGCACCCAATGGGAAGGCAGGCAGGCGGTGAGGACAGTGTGGTGAGTCCTTCTCCATTTCAGTCACTGGATCTGGTACCATGGGACAACTAAGTCTTCCCTAAAGTCAAAATGACCATGAAAGGCAGATGTTTTGAGCTGACTCAGCACCTCCAGGCAGCCGGGACAGTGCAACGAACAAAACTCATGAAACAGAACTTCCAGAACTGCTTCAGAAGTGGCAAGTACAATGGGAAAAGTGGGTTTGAATTGAAGGGAAATTTTAGTGGGGAGGGTAAATGGCATTGTATCTTCTGCTGTTACAGATTTTTAAAAAATTAACATTCACCAAATTTTTTATTACATCTCATAAAACGTCACAACTCGGAATTTAGTAACTAATGAAATGATAAAAGCAGGAAAACTAACATTTCCAAAACCCAGCAAATAAAAATGTTACAGAAAAGTACACAAAGCCCATGAAACATCTGTGGGGCAGGGTGGGGCTTGAGGCGGCGGGGGCTGCAGGAGGCTCCCAGCAGAAGCTTTGGCTTTTCTCCGTCTTTCCTCTTTCGCTTCAGCACTCCGTAAACACTGTAGAGAAAGCAAAGGAAATGCCGGTGGGTTCGGGGTGATCTCTCTCGGAAGATGTGTGCAGGCAGAATAGTGACACAAAGTGCCCTTGAAGCCCAGCAGGAGGGAGGATTGTGTCTCACACAGGAGATGTAAGAGGGGATGCCTCAGGGACAGAACACAGCTGAGCTGGGCTTTGGGTGGCTGGAAGGCCAGTGTAGGGTCGCTTATGTTAAACTGGGTGAAGACACAGAAGGGGTGAAACCAGGACAAAGCACAGCTGCGTCCCAGGACCCAGCAGGGAGAGGTTGCAGAGAAAGCAGGCGCCTTTAGACTGAGCACCTGAGTGCAGGAGGATTGTGAGTTTGATGTCCCTTGTGCTACAAAGCAGATTTGCAACCAGCCTGAGCTACAAGGTGACACTTTGTCTCAAAAAAAGCAAGGAGCACGAGTGTACGTGTGTGTGTGTGTGTGTGTGTGGTAGGTGTAAGCATCCTGTGCTCTAAGAGCACCAGCCTTTCCTGTCCAGTATGCCAGATGCTGTGTGAATGAAGGCTGATGATCCTGGGATGGTGGGGGTCCTTATGTAACATATTATATTTCATGCTGTATTGGACTTTTTTGGGGGTGGTAAACATACACAGCAAAATTTGTCACGTGAACTATTTTTCAGTGTACAGTCAGTGGCATTCACACCGTCAAACAGTCATTACCACTATTCTTCCACTTTCGCTTTGTTTGTTTGTTTTTTGAGACAGGGTCTCACCATATAGTTCAGTCTGGCCTTGAACTCACTGTGTAGTCCAGGCTGGCCTTGAACTCCAGTGATCCTCCTGCCTCAGCCTCCTGAGTGCTGGGATTACAGGTGTGCATCACTATGCCAAGCTCACTTTCACTTTTCATGAATGGTTTTAAGCAGGAGGAAAGGATCACAGCAAGATGCTGTATAGCAGAATGCTACATTGACAGAGCTGACCCAATTTACTCTTGGGAAAGCTGAGAGAGAGAGGGTAAGGAACAAAAGAGGAGGTTATTGTAAGAAACCTGGCGCAAGAAGGATAGTAGTTCCTTAGAGGAAATGAGATAAAGGCATAGCCATCAAAAAATACCACCATCTACCTATGTAGACCAGGGATGTTTGGATGGCTTTGAGTGGGGAGAAGGGAAAAGAAATCTAAAGTGATTTTTGAGATGCAGAGAATGGAGCCCATGGGGACACCATGTGCTGGTAATATTTACCAATATTAAATAACTTTTAGAAATAAGTAAGTCGAAGAAAACAGAAACCCTAAAAAGAAGAAAAGAGCGGGGGGATAAGGTGCTCATCTAGTCAATTCGAGGCTCTGGTGAGACAAGCACGTAAGACACATAGCTTGGAGTTGCACAAATTCCAGTCTGGCTTAAAAAAAAAGACCAGAGCCAAGCGTGGTGGTGCATGCCTGTAATCCCAGCATTTGGGAGGCTGAGGCAGGAGGATCGCTGTGAGCTCGAGGCCAGCCTTGGCTACACAGTGAGTTCATGGTCATCCTGAACTGCATAGTGAAACTGTGTCTCAAAAAAAAAAGACCAGATGTGAATTTTGTGGTTTTCTCTTAGAGGTTATATTTGAAACCAGCAGTACAAGGGAGAAACATTCCTTTCCCACCTTCTGAGGCTTTTCCTTTTGCGTTCATTGTATTCTTCCTTTTGGAACAAGCTGCTTTGTAACTTAGCCACGGTACAGGTAAACTTAACCTGCAGTCCAACCCACGTGCCCCTCCCAGACCTAATGACAAGAGTTCGGCGTGTTATATTAGTGTTGCCAAGGACCATGCAAAGCCCTTTACATTTATCATCCACAGATTACTCACAACAGCGCTGTGAATGAGCTCTGAGCTATCGATATCCTCATCCTTCAGGTCAGACACCGGGAGAGACCTGTGGCAGTGCGTGGAGTTTGCATGAAGTATTAAAGTCAGAATTTGAAGCGAGGTAAATCTAACTCCAAAATCCATGTTTTTGTATA